ATATAAAAAAAGAGAGTGCGAAAGCAAGTTATATATGTTGTAGCTAAAATTCTGCTTTCATTTGTTATTGCACTTTGTAAATGATATAAAAATTGATCATTACAAAAACATTTGCTATTCTTGACATAATATAGATGCGGAAGATGGCCGAATGCACAAGACAGTGCGGACGACAAGGCACAGCACCCTCATCAGGTCTACTGATTATCAGCTCCAAATCCAGGCTACTTTGACACAATGTAGCCGGAAGATTGCGAATTTCACATGGCAAGACGCTGGAGATGAGAGGTAAAATCTTTTTTTATGCGATAATATTTGGACTAATATGCTATTTTTATTCATATTCATTTATAATTGAACATAACATTGTTGACTCAATGTTCAATGTAGTGAGATATTAGTGTCTATGTTCGGATTTAGTCTTAACTGAAGAGATATGCAATCCTTGCGGGAGAAGCATTGGGTATTAGATAGGGTAAGCCACGAAAAAAGAAAAATTATTTTATTTGACTAAATTAACTGCTGTAGTTGTGCAGATAGTCTCACCTTTTGGAATGCTAAAATATTTTATTGTTGTACTCATCGTTCTTTTAGGTCGTTGATATGTATGCAAGGTTATTGAATAATGATGTGAGTAAAAGACTGATGAAGGTTAAGCGGTACATTGTCGAGCCATGTGTTGTTGTAAGTATAATGACCAACTTTTTTTACCACCAACTAACACCATGCATATACAGTTTCACTTATTGTTAGTTTATTAGAAAATTTGATTCCAATGTTTATTAAATAGTATGAATTGCTCGTGCAATTTCTAACTATCGTATGACTTTCAATCCAATTTCATTGATTTGTTGGGCAGGCTGCCATTCAAGGTGTAAACCGATTTGAGAAAAAGTCTGATGATGTCCTATATTCGAAACTGAACAACTGGTTCAAAATAAGAGCAAATAATACGTCAAGTCTAGCAAATGCCAATATGGTGATCAATCTCTTATAACTGCTGGATCAAATACCTTTTATTTTATATCAAATATGTTGCATTTGTAAAGTCTAACACATTATATTTTCAGATACTGGTTCCAGTGGTGAACAAAAGTCACTAGTTTGTATACTCATTTGATATTGCACAAAGCATTGTTCATCTCTTTGACTCACGAGTTGATTCATCACGGGTTTGACAGACTAACATCTTACGACGACTGGTGAAATCTAAACACTATTTATACCTTGAATTTTTACTGCATCTGTTTTATGGCTTTAAATTATATAACTAGTGAGAAAGTGTAATCAAGAAAATTATATTTTTATGTTGCAGAGGCGAACCTTGGGCTTAATAATGGCAAAACAATTTGATAAGTTGATGGATTTCGAGGGATTTGTATTGCAAGTCGCAGATGTGCCTCAACAGTCTCCACATAATAGGTATATGTCCTGTAAATAAGAGTTTATTTATATTATATCTTGAAATATAACTAAATACTAAGTTATATTATTAGGATGGTAAGGTAAAACTTGTATGTCCTACAATCTGGTTGTCATGACAATGTATACCTCGTGTTTCAGCTATGATTGTGGTGTGTTCATAATGAAATTTCTGGAGCACTGGAATGGAAGATTAGGCATATGCATTACGGAGGTATATATATTATTTTGATTTATAGAAATTTTTTGGTAGCAATTATTTTTATGATGACTAATGTATAACATGTGGTGCTGATTATTTCAATGTTTGGATAGGATAACATATGGAAGTATCGAGTGCAATATGTGTCTATGTTGGTTGCAACCGAGCATAACGAATGAGCCGAATCCATCCTTGAGTTGTTAAATATCCTTCCCCGACGAAAAAACCAGTTGTAATAAATGATTAACAAATATTTAGTAATTTATGAGTTGTGTTGCGTAGAAATTTGTACTTGTGTTGTGTAGAATTATCTCATTTTGGGATTACTGTTGGGAGCAAAGTTCATTAGTTATGAAATTTTTACTACTAGTGGGACATATAGAATTTTGTGTTGGGAGCAAAGTTCATTACTGTTGGGACATGCTTCATTTTTTGTTTGCGGTAGACAGGGTTGGGACACCACGATGAATATATAACTTCTTGTAATCAATTGAATAGAAGTAAAAGGTGTAAAACTATTCTGCATTGATTGCAATTCTCAAACTACTATCTAATATAAAAGTAAAACAATCATTTTAGTATTACATTGTTCCAATCCAGTTCCAAATGGGTCACAAGATACATCAGCTTAGCATACATATTCATGGAAGGCAATTAGCTTCTACCCATTTATATCGTAGGTAGTTGCACTTCTTCGTCGCTTAATTGCATGAGAGTACTGCTCTTTGACCTTTCCACAGAGGCCACAATGGGGGTCTGGCAATCATTGAAACAAGCAATAAATTATTTAAATCAAAAGTTCAGTGTTCATAAAAGCATGCCCTACAATAGTCTTGTAACAAGGTTAGAATAGTTCTAAATAATAACTGTAAATAATGAGCTTTTTAAAGAATTACTGACCATTAAGAATTCGGTGAAACTTGTGTACTTTGTCTTGCTCACAGGATCGTTGGGAAGCAAAAGTGGGAGATTGTTACGATCTTGAATACGGATATTATGAGCACCAGTATTTGAGGAGTGATTCCAGTTTCACCGGGCTACCATTAAGTATTGTACTGAACAAGATACTGTAAATTTGTCCAAAATCTTGATTATCCACACAAGTGCAATATCTGACTTACCATCCTACAAGACTGCATATCTGAATGAATAACTGGGGATGATCCAAAATTTGATTCACTGAATGACTGTTATCACGAGTAGCACATTACATTAGTTGCAAAGTCATGCTAACACTGTGTATAACACAAACTAACTAATTTGTAAAAATTAAATACACATTGTGTCCAAAATTTAAGATGTTAGGTGGTATGAAAATTATGATGCAAATGTGTACATAATATATAACAACGTGTTCAACTGAATTAACAATATGTAAACAAAAATCAACTGAAAATAATCTAAACAAAAATCAAAATTCAGTACATACGTGACCATAAATGAATACATTGTAAAGTTATACTACAAACTTATGGGCTACTATGAATATAACACATAACCAATGCATTAGATTGAAGTAACTATGCAATAGATTTCAAATGATATGGTTTGTAGTGTACAAGATGAAATATACCGTGTACCAGAATAATAACACAATGTCAAAATTAAATAACGGGTGATAAATAATTGTAACTTGTACGATTGAAAAAATAAATGTGAGCAAATAAATTAATAATGTGTAAAAAATTTTATCCAAATGTGTAATCATGTGTCCAAATGGAATTATTCATATTTCAAAACAAAGTAATCAGTGGTACATAATATCAATCAATGCGTACAACATATATATCAGTTTGTACACATAAAACAACAACATGTAAATGCTATTAAATCAAGAGATCTCCGTACTGTGTACCAACTAATATACACCGTGTACCAGAATAATAACACGATATCAAAACTAAACAACGGGTGATAAATAATTGTAACTTGTACGATTGAAAAAATAAATGTGAGCAAATAAATTAATAATGTGTAAAAATTTTTTATCCAAATGTGTAATCATGTGTCCAAATGGAATTATTCATATTTCAAAACAAAGTAACCAGTGGTACATGGTATCAACCAATGCGTACAACATATATATCAGTTTGTACACATAAAACAACAACATTAAATGTTATTAAATGAAGAGATTTTCGTACTGTGTACCAACTAATATACACCGTGTATCAGAATAATAATACGATATCAAAACTAAACAACGGGTGATAAATAATTGTAACTTGTACGATTGAAAAAATAAATGTGAGCAAATAAATTAATAATCTGTAAAAAATTTTATCCAAATGTGTAATCATGTGTCCAAATGCAATAACGATATTTTAAAACAAAATAACCAGTGGTACATGGTATCAATCAATGCGTACAACATATATATCAGTTTGTACACATAAAACAACAACATGTAAATTCTATTAAATTAAGAGATCACCGTAATGTGTACCAACTAATATGTACAAAATATGATATTACTATGTCAAAAATAAATAACATGTGATGAACTACCTATCACTAATATGTACACCTTAATAACCAATGTGTACAAGTAAAACATTAATTTGTAACACCTAAATAACTAACAGTGAACTATAACGCACATTATGTAAAGTATAAAAATAACTACTTACTGCCACAAAATTATTGGATGACAAATATTTGCTTGATGTTTGGCTTTGGATAGGTTGATAGGATTCTGATGACTGACAAGAGAAAAATATACAATAACTCAGTCGGCTTATGATAGTAGAGTCAATTGAAATGATATAGTTATGTAAGTCCAAATATAAAATTCGGTACTAACCATCTCAGGAGTGCTTGCCTCAGACAATCTAAAGTTCTTCTTTTGCCTATGAAACCTGTCCACCCAACTACGCAATACTTTCTTAGTTTTTCTACCACTTTGTTTCTTCAAACCCGTTGGAGTCACAAAGTGGCCAGCTGCATTCTGCACTTGTATTTCCTTACATAGATCCATTGATGCACTATTCTGTGTTATTTTATCTATTTCTCCACAAAATAGCATTTCGACTCTCTTTGATAATTCAAACATTACGCTACTGACTAATTTTGTAGTGGCTTCTGACATGGCAGCCCTGGTAGCAAGTCTTACCATTTCGAGTGCTAATAGCCTATATCGATGGGAAATAGAGAGAGACGAATCTGATGATATTTCTCTACCCTTGCAATCGACGCTGCCTCTGGACCTTGCCTTCTTTGTCCACCTCTTTGTCACATATTGATCAGGAATAAACTTTGTTCCAACCATATCATACACCTTTAAAGCATGTGAGCATAGGATTCCTTCTTGCTCAAAAAGATTACAACTATAAGTAATGTCTTTAGTTATTGGATTCAATATCACTCTTCTCTCTCTTCATCCATCATAGTGACTGACACTGTATTCCACATGCATTGTAGTATGCTTTTGGTCCAAGATCACCATTGTAGTGGATTCATCATATTCATTCTGGAATGCAACAAACATACATGGAGAGTATATAGAAGTTGCCTGGATCAGTACGGGAGTTTGTTGCAATCCCAACATTGGCAGCTTCTGTCGATTGTAATACTCAGCTCTTAGTTCATTATATCTTTTTTCATCCACAACTCGGTTAAAATGTTTGAAGAATTGAACCAGATCATGATCAAGTTTCAGATAATTTTCTATGGAAGCATTTAGACTCTCACTTAACTTTTTATGCAAATAATTTTTAGACTCAGATAATTTTCAGATAATTTTTATGCAGTCCAAGCGCCTTTCATGAAGTATTTTGCCCATTTCTTTCGACATGCATAAATGCCACATAACTATTCATTTGTTTCGAGCTTGTGCTCTTTTAGCATTGCATCCCAGGCCATGATAAACTCATTTTCACCTTCTATCTCATACATACATACAGCAAATCTATATGGGAGATTACCACCATCTTTGTAATAGTTCCCAAGGTGTTTCATGAAATTGACTCTAATATGAAAAGTGCACAGACCATGGTATGTTGAAGGCATAACAGCTCAAATTACAACGGCCATGGCTGCATCCTGATCTGTGAAGATGGTTTTTGGGTGCCTTCCACAAACTGCCTCTACAAATGTACCGAACACCCACTTGAACGATTCAATTGTCTCATCATACAATAGAGTTGCTCCAAAAATAATCAATTGTCTAAATTGATTGAATCCCACAAATACGCCTAATGGTCTGTACTCCTTGTTAGTTTTATATGTAGTGTCAAATGTAACCACATCCCCAAAATAGGTATAATCTATCAGCATTGATGCATCAGCCCAAAATATATTTGTAATTTGTTCTTTACAATCAAGCTGCTCTGCGTGGAAAAATGACGGATTTTTCAATTTTTGTTCTTCAAAGTATCGTAGCATTGCACCAGCTTCACCATACTTTAATCCCCTCTCTCTTTTTGTTCGTAGATAGCGTTTTAAGTCATCACAAGTGTAGCCAATATTGCCTAATCCACTTGCCTTTTTTCCCATGAGTTTATGGGATTGTTTCAAGGATATTCCTGCATCATTTGCAATCTCAGTTTGGGCTTCTTGAGAAATACTTACTTTTCTTTGCGAACGCATCATATGAGCACATTCTAAAATGTGTAGTATGTGATTATGCTCAATTACCAGATCTCAAACCTGATACTTCATTGTTTCTCTATTCAAAATTATCCCTATTTTAGCTTCACATCCGGTTTTTGTTTCAGCCCGAGTTCTCTTTGATTTTACATCTCCTTCGTACCGTGGTTTGAAACCTTCTTTGCAACATGTGTACCTTCTAGATGTAACTACACCGTCTTTATCCTTGTTCAAGTAGTCTTTTCAAACACTGAACCCAATAACTAATCCGTACCTATTGTAGAAGTTGTATGCCTCATCTTCTGACTGAAACTCCATGCCAATCTTAGGATACAATGCTTCCTCCATTGTGCTGTATTCAACAAAAGCATTTTTTCCTATTGTTTTTCAGGACAAATAATTATATTTATTTTTTATTTCTTTATTCACATCATAAGCACTTTATTATTTGTATTCACATATGTACATACTTTATAACGACGTGTACACACCTTATAACATTTTATAAAATAATTTTTATGGATGTGTATTTTCCCTGTAATAGGTAATTACATAACTCTAATAATTTGCATAGCATATTTCACTATATAATATATACATTTCTAACAAATATTATAACCAATTTATGTATAATATCAGTATTTACATACTTTACAATCATATGTACACACTTTATAACAATGTGTACACCCTTTATATCAACTTGTAACATAACAAATACATGTATGCCTCATACACTTTTACATAGCGTAAGGTTTGACAGAATTCTCAAAATCTATACATTGTCATCTATACCGTTTGTGTAGTTATTTAAGTTGGTCACATTGTTAAGTTATTTTTACGCTTATGTTATTTTATTTGTACACATCCTCATTTATATTTTGAAATTCTATACGGGATTTTTATTGTACAAGTTAACCATTCTCTCTAAAAGGATAATGACATACTTCTTATAATTTTTAAATCATGCTTCACTAAATAACACATTTATTACAATCAAATTACATATAATATTAGCGTTTACCTTGGACAAAGTTCACCATGCAGTAAATTTCAGATGGGCTACTCACAAGTCTCGGCTATGCATTTGTTACTCGATGAATATCTATCTCAGTTATCCATTACTTCAATCGGCGTGTATTGTTGCTGCAGCGGATCTTCACAATTATCTTGTGCACACCTCAGACAAGATGCCCGTTTTGATAGGGTTTATTTAAGAGTTGGAAGAGAAAAAGACAAAAATTTATGTCTATATCATGCGAAATAATTTGTTGAGAGGAAAAAAACGGAAGGAGCTTGTTGAGAGGAGAAGAACAAAAGGAGTTACAGCGACAATATATTGTGTTCAGAGAAAATCCACTACCATCATTTTCTTCCCACATCTTTTAAGTTGAAAGAGTTTTAAAGCCCACCAATCGTACCAAAAGTTGATTTTCAAATTTTGATTTTGAATTTTTCATACCCTTAACAGTCAGACCAAATGGAGTTAAAAGTTAAGCTTGTATTAAAGCAACAATCCTCTACACTCATCTCCATTTTGTTCAATTTCGTTTTGGCCGTTGATGATAGGCCCACCACATCTTGGCCATGAAAAGTTTATGAGCTATAGTACATACACACTCAGAAATCAAAATGCCGGGATACGGGGCAGGAGCGGTCCTTCTGAAGGACCGTTCCTGAACGATCCCCTCACAGAAACAAAGGTAAGGTCAGAAATAAACCACGTCAACTAGTTGTTTTGAAGGAAAAAAACGTCACCGTTTGACGAAAGGAAAAAAATAAGATTGACGGACTCCGTTTCCTCTAAACGGAAGAATTGAAATTTTGAAAATGAAGTTCAAAATTTCAATTAGCCGCACAAACCAAAACCGAGAGAAGAAAGCAAGCTGGGTATGTCATTGTTGCTTGGCTGACGTGAAATTAGGTGGAGAGAGTTGGGTTATGGCATCAGAAGAAGAAGGAAGAAGGCAAACAGTTAGAATGCTGTAAAAGAAGGCCAACGATGTCTTGAGAAATTGTATGAGCAATGCGGGCAAGACAGCCGGCAAGGTAGAAGCGAATTAAAGAGGAAATTCATTATCTGACGTTGCCCACCATTTTTTGTGCAACTTAATAGCAGAAGCAACTGTGCATAAGGGCATTCGGTGAAACAAAAAGCTCTCAACGGGCCAAGGTAACGTGATTCAACCATATCAACAACTTTGTGAATCTTATACCAGCAACTTTTCTGAATGTTAGATTCAGTAAAGACATAATATGAAGATAATAGAAGAATAGTCAATGTGTACTGTATGTGTGTGTGAGAGCGTGCAGTTTTGCAGTGATGAACTATTTAACAAGTGAATGAATGTACATGCTGCTGTAGATAAGTTACATGTTGTAACCACCCTATTACAATCTTTGTGCATCCACTAGTTGGTCCATGGTCATCACGCAATCTTAGTTTGCCCCTCTGTTGAGTATGCAGTGTGTATAAAATGGAGGTCTGGGGTTTGACCTAGGAAAAGCAGAGGAAAAGATATATGTGAATAATAAATAGATGTACCTGGTTTTGTAAGTAAATTACATGATGTAAGAAATGTATTAGAATGAGTAAAAAATGCTTGTTTGGCCCTGAAAAAGTAGAAATAGTAGAAAATGCACCGGAATTGGCTTAGGCGATTGTCAGTAACGAATTACATAACGTCCAATGAAACAAAGTACCTAGAACCTAAATATAATCACCAGAGTGGATGTACATATAGTTAAAATAGACTTACATGGAGTGAAAAACATATTACAGTCCGTATAACTTAGTGTACATGGAGTTATATTTGTACATAGATAATGCCATTGTATTAGAGTAAAAGTAAAGTGATGTGAATCATTAATCATATCGATGGGAGTAATAATAGAATTTGGTATACGAGTAATGTGTGTAACATAACATATTATAAACGGTAATACACACTTATGTTGTCGTTTACATACATACTATTCATGAACTATTGTAAATTATGGTGTTGGATGCATAATTGGTAGGAGCAGAAGTAATGAATTGTAGAGAAATTGACAGAAGATGGGACTCATGAGTTAGGAATGGAGTTCAACATGGAAGAGGATGCGTACAAGTTTTACAACAAATATGCCTTTAAAATGGGATTTAGTGTACGCAAAGACTATTTAAATAAACACAAAGACTATTTAGTCTATTTTATGCGGTTGTCATTAACGAATGACATAAGGTCCAATGAGCTAAAGAATCTAGAATCAAAATATAATGACCAGCGTGGATGTACATACAGTTAAAATAGACTTACATCGTGTGACCAATACATTACAATTCGTATAAGTTAGTGTACATGGAGTTGTATTTGTACACAGATTGTCTTAGAGTAAAAGTAAGGTGATGTGAATCATTAATCATATTGATAGCGTAATAATAGAATTTGGTATTTGAGTAATGTATGATTCATAACAAATTATGAATGGTAATATACATATATGTTATCGTTTATGTACATACTATTCATGAAGTGTTGCAAATTAGGGTGTTTGATGCATAATTGGCAGGATCAGAAGCAATGGATTGCAGCAAATTGGCAGCAGATGGGACCCCTGAGTTAGGAATGGAGTTCAACAGCGAAGAGGATGCGTACCAGTTTTACAACAAATATGCCTTTAAAATGGATTTTAGTGTACGTAAAAACTATCTGAATAAAGACAAAGATGGCGTGACCACGTCTAGGAGATATAGTTGCTGCAAGGAAGGTGTAAAGCGCAAGTACGAAGGTGATGTGATGCCAAAGAGGACACGAGCGCCGACGAAAACAAGGTGTGGAGCTAAAATGGTTATCGTGTTGTTTAGAGGAACAATGAAGTACCGTGTGCATGACCTTGTCTTAGAGCATAACCATGAGTTGCACATTGCTCAATGTGCACACATGATGCCATCACAAAGAAAAGTGAGCGAGACTCAAGGATTCCAAGCTGAAATAAGCGAGGACGCTGGACTTTCATTGAAACAGAGTCATGAGCTTATGGGAAAGGAGGCAGGTGGGATGGGAAATGTGGGATATACTCGGGAAGACCTGAAACGATATCTTCGTACTCGACGGGAAAGGAGTTTGAAATATGGAGAAGCAGGTAGCATGCTGAATTATTTTCAAGAGCAAACACTCGAGAATCCATCGTTTTTTCATGCCGTACAGCTGGACTGTGAAGAGCAGATAACGAATATCTTTTGGGCTGATGCAGGAATGTTAATTGACTACAAATTTTTTGGAGACGTAGTCACATTCGACACAACCTACAAAACAAATAAAGAATACCGGCCACTTGGAGTGTTTGTGGGGTTTAACCAACATAGGCAAATTGTGATATTCGATGCTGCTCTTATGTATGATGAGACTATAGATTCTTTCAAATGGGTGTTTGGTACATTTCTAGAAGCAATGTGCGGAAAGCGTCCAAGTACCATACTAACCGACCAAGATCATGCCATGGCAGCCGCTCTTTCAGTTGTTATGCCTGAAACATTTCACGGTCTATGTACGTTTCACATAAGGCGTAATTTTATGAAACATTTTGGCAATCACTACAAGGAAAATAGTGATCTTCCATACATGTTTGGTGCATGCATGTATGAGTTTGAAGAAGTGGAACAATTCAATAGGGTGTGGGAGGCGATGGTGAAGAAACACAATCTTGAAAATAATGAATGGCTCTCCGGGTTGTATAGAATTCGTGATAAATGGGCAAGGTGCATGATGAAAGAAAGATGGACCGCGGGAATGCGAAGCACCCAACTTAGCGAAAGCCTAAATGCAGCAATTAAAAATCATTTGAAACTGGATCATAACCTTGTGCAGTTCTTTAGACATTTCAATCGGGTGGTTGATGAAAAGAGACATAATGAACTGATCGCAGAATATGAAATGAGGCAAAAACTCTCCATGGTCGGGTTAAGGCAAACACCTATGCTTGTGCATGCATCAGAGACGTATTCACCAACCGTATTTGTTGCATTCTAAAATGAATATGGCGAGTCAACAGCTATGGTTATATTGAGACAGCAAGATGCAGCGATGATTGTGGAGTTTGCGGTCATGAGGTATGATGGAGGACCTGAAAGAATAGTGGTATTCAATCGAAATGATCTAAGTGTACGTTGTAGTTGCAAAAAATACGAGAATGAAGGCATTTTATGTGGGCACGCGTTGAAGGTGTTTGATACTGTGGGCATAAAAATAATTCCTCCTGAATACATTAAGAGGCGATGGACAAAAAGAGCTCGGGCTGGAGACTGTTTTGATCGGCGAAGATGGGAAGTTGTGGTTGATCCTAAAATAATGATTTCAACTCGTTAT